ACAGCGATGTTTTCGTATAGCGAAGGTTAATCCGGAACGGATTAACCTCGCTATATGGGGCACCACTGTATAGTGTGGTGCCATGTAAAGTATCTGTGTGTGATCTCTGCATCTTATAAAAACAAACAACGTCTAAAATGAAGAACAATTGCAGAGGCATGCTTCAAACTCTGTATATAGCACCAACATAAATTATTTTATTTAATAACCCATTGTGAAGTTCTTAAAATGGTTCTGAGCAGGAATTAAAATGACACATGAGCCATGAAGCAGCAAGACCTAAATAAAAACTATTGAGAAGGACAACTAGTTCTCAGTTTGTACATTCCCAAAGTGGAATACCTCTGTGTAGTTCAAGTATAGTAATTACAGTTTCTCCAAAGCAACCTCTCACATCCACTTGGTAGCCTCCAGATGTATGTCTGATTTCAAAGTGTGCACAAAGCTGTACTTCCATTTCAAAGCTACACAGAGGGTGGGCATCTGCCTGCTCTAGATCTGTAAATTTCTAATCCTGCCAGGGGTATCCCAAATTCTAGAGAACCATATCTGTGCAAGTTTCTGGTGTGCAGGGAATTTTAACACTATGTAGTTAGTGTTCTTGGTATATTTCTTGACTTGCCAATCTCTGCTGAATTGCAGTATTAACAATTACAACATTTCTTGATATCTAATTATGGCCTTGAAGCCTGGAGAGGTTCAGCCTCTGCTATGCCATATGCGTAGTTGTTGTATCAGAATTTTTATAAAGAAAGAAACCTGCAAAATCTGTTTGTAAGAATCTAATTTTGGCCAGTAAGTATGAGGTTGGAGGAAAGTATGGAAAAATTAGATTGCCCTATTTTGTCTGATCAATTGGAATTTGCTAAATTTTTGTACTAATGGTGTTTATGACAACTCTTATTTAGTAGTTTTGTGGACGCCACATTGACTTGATAAGTCTTTGTTCAATTGTTTAAATATATGATCGGGCTATGCCTAGACAGTCTCATTTTGGCAGGAGGTTATTTATTCATATTAGGTTTATGCTGGAATAATATTTGAAATTTGCAGATGTATATGTTTTGTTAAATTATATACCTGTTTCTTGGACATTAACTAATGATTGATGCAAATGAATTCTGTGCAACTCTTATGGTGGCTAATCAAGTGCAGTTACAACGCTGGAAGGATAAATACCCACTTTCTGTTAATCAGTGAAGTGAGGATATTACAACTCTGAACATTTGAGCACGTGGCACATAGAAAACAACTACATATGGATACTTACATTTGATCTGCTTTCACTGCAGGTTTTAAAAAAACTGCTATTGCTAAGTTCTTTGCTCTTCCTTCCTTCCTTCCTTCCTTTTTATTATGGGGTGTTTTGTGATTTGAGCATAATAAAAGAAAAGAAAAAGAAGATCAGTACCCGAATATTTAAAAGATCATCTAATTCAGTACTGACCCACCTCCCAACCAGGAAGGTTCTGCTTGCAGTGACCAGAAAGCTGTGTGGCCTGCCAAGTTACCACAGATTCCAGGGCTTTTCCAGTAGTGACACACCATTTCTGAAACTCACTTGCTTGAGATATAGTTGCTTTCCATTCTTCTTCATCAGCTGAAAACATATACAAGTATTATTCAGCAAATAATGAAATGTCTTATTTTTCTTTGTTGCTTGTTTTTATTGCTTTTAACTCTATTTTAACAAAAAGTTGTAACCTGTGATTTTAGGAATTTGTAATTTATTATTTTGAACTGCACATTTTATGTGAATTGTTACCTACCTTGAGTTCTTATGAAAAAGGGCAAGATGTAAATCAGTTTTAGAGTTCACTAACTTATAGGGTCACCATCAGTCAGAAGTGACTTCATGGCGGATAACAACATAAATCAGTGTGGTGGATACTATGTCCTCCTTTTATGTTTTTCCTTTGGTCTAGTGATCCAAAATATAGCTGAGATTAAAACATAGAGGTATCCTAGAAAAGTTAAACATAATTTTGTGGAAGTGCAAGATAGCAAAGATGCCTTATATTGAGTAACTATTGGCAGTCAAGAAAAAATTCTAATTCTGTTGCTACTCTAGAGCATGAACTACTGTTGTTTAAAACAGGGACATTTGCCTACTGCATAACCATGGAAAAACTAGTTAAGTGGTTCTTTGCAATCCTGACATGTTCGAACACAGTACTTATGATAGGATTTTCTAGCACAGTTAAATGGTTGTTAGCTCTGTCACTTGCCAAGTTTCTATCAGATTTAACTAGGTTTGTTGGTTTCATTTCAGAACCATGACCATTCATGTATAGCATGCAGGATCATCTATCGGTCAGATGAACATCACCCTCCAATCTTGCCTCCAAAGGGTGATTTGACTATTGGACTGCATGGCGAATGGGTGAGCCAGCGCTGTGAAGTTCGTCCAGAAGTGCTTTTTCTCACCAGGCATTTCATTTTCCATGATAACAACAATACCTGGGAAGGTCACTACTACCATTATTCTGACCCAATCTGCAAGCACCCCACTTTCACTATCTATGCCAAGGGCCGTTACAGCAGGGGAGTACATTCCTCAAGAGTGATGGGTGGAACAGAATTTGTGTTTAAAGGTAAGGGCATTTTTTTAAATATACTCCTGGCATTTTCTGAACAAGACTGGGTGGAGATCACTGCAAAGGTGTGCTCTATGCCTCCTTAAAGCAATGGAATGGGTGCCTCACCAGATTCATAAACCAAATATTCTTTACCTAGAAACACTTCTACTCCTGAAAAAATTTTTTAAAGGAAAATAAATTTCATAATAGATTGCAAACAACACAAGATGTGGAGGGATTAATACTGCACCAGTCGCTCATATATTTCTATTTTTTTAAATCTACTCTAGAGGACTGTATCTGTATTAATACCAGTCATAAAGCACCTTATACATGCCTTCTCATGTCTTTGGACAATGGACTATATTTCTGTGATTCTCACCCTTCCTGTCTTATACCACAATACTGTACAGAAACACACTTATTCCAAGCCAGTCGGGGCAGATAATGGAAAACTATAGGAAACATATCTTAAAAGAGCTATACAATCTAGTTATGCTAATGACAAAAATTCAAGCCAAATAACTATATGAAACAATGAAATTAAATTCTAAAGTGGAGTAAGCCTACTCGTTGATAGCCAACGAGATTATGCAAATATAAAATGTATCAGTGACATGTGAATAGATAAAACAACTCAGCTTTTGTGGGGGACTTTAGAGGCAGCCCAACAACAAACTGTTCTTAAAATGAAGTAATCAAATTAAAATGTTTATGGCAATTCTAAAATGAAATGTACTGGTTAAATGGGCAGGACAAGGAGTCCTTGTTTGTAAACAGGGGATGGGTGGGGAAAGAATAGGAAATGCTGCTAGAGCTGGGGAAACAAAGAGCCTTCATTCCTGACTTCTCTATCATATGATGCAGTGATGAAATGTAAAATGAATGCTTTGTTTGTCACTTATATAAAAGCATCTTGGCTTCATAATCAGCTGACTGACTTTTTAGCCCCAGTTCAGAAACTACAAAACAGACTGAAATATAACATGGTATGCTTCTAAATAGCACTCCATCTGTATTGCTAATGTTAGGCAATGGTGCCTTAATGTGTTTTAGGGTTTGTTGAAAAATGTTCTACAGATTTATTATCTTGCTAGATCTGAAAAGAAGCCAGTTTTGGTTTGTTTCAAATTCCCTTTGTGTAGGCCTGTTTGGTTCAGCTGGAAGTCAGAACTAAAATGATTTAATTTACTTTTACTTAAAACTACTCAATCTCAGGATCAAAACTTGGTTGATATAAATCAAGCTTGTTTCTTTAAAGTGCTCAGTTTTATAGATTATCCATTCTTCAAGATGTTGCACACATGAATCCTTAAAAATGAGGATAATATATGATGGTAATGGAGCTGACATTTCTGAGGTTTTTGCTTTCCATTTGGAACTAGTTACTTCATTAGCTTTGTAAGCAAGTACATGTTAAAAGACATAAATTTATATTCTGGCTATAGAACAACTTTTAAATGAAGTTTGAGTGTCATTTTATAGTATCCTCTCTTCTTTATATTGTCAAGAAAACCAACTTTTTAAAATTTGCAGGCTTGCCTGGGGCAGGCAGTTTGTGAAATACAAACTTTCATCTCTGACTCTCCTGTAGAGAAATTGGTCCCTTTAGTGGAGTGTATTTCCCCCCCCCACTTCCCCTTTAAAATCTAATTATGTATAAATCTCAAGCCAGTATAGTTTGTTGAGCACATTTCACAACACAGTTTGAAAGTGAGTGCTACAATTGTGCAAAACTTATCGAATAATTAGCAATAATTAAGTCAAAATACTGGGCCTCAGTTTTAGGACAACTCAACATCTAGTAGGAGTTTCACACCCTAATACTTGTATAGCATATTTTATGATTCCGTTTCACTTTTCAAAAAGAGAAATCAATCTTATTTTTAAAAATTAAAAGAAAACCCCCACTAAATTTCAAAGAACTGGCCACTAACCACACCTCAGGTTTGTATTCTGTGCATGCATACCTACATGTGGGATTCTGTACACAGGCTGGTGATGCATACATTGCTTCTCCTGCTAACTTAGGTGACAGAGCTGAGCATGTAGAGAAAGAATCATAGTAATTACTTATTTGGGAGCAGAAGGTTGAATTTAGGCCACTCCAGTCCCATATCCTGCTGAACAGGTAGCTGTTACAAATTCTTTTCTGATAGAGCTTCAGTCCTATAGCTCCAGCAGTTACATTTGTAGAGTTGAGAACCAAACTGTACTGTACTTTACAAATATCGGAAGTTCTAAGGTATTTGCTTTATACTGACACTTTAAGTCTAAAGGAGAAGCAGCTCTGGTCTGGCACTATGAAGAAATCCGAATCTGGAACCTGTTCTCATTTCCCACTGAAAATCCCCACACCAGGTTGCGGTTTGTCCCCAGACAAACAGCAACCTGATATCTATAATAGATGGCACCTTTAGAACATATGGCCTGGTCATGGGAATTTGGAGGGAAACCACTTTATGTACTGCAGTGCTATGTGTCTCTAGATGAGAGAAGACTGAAATAGGGCCTCATCTTTGATATAATTTCCTAAACTAAATGCACAAGGAAGTCTGGGCAACAAGGCCCATCCCTCTAATTTGGTGATTGTTAACAGATGGGGCAACTCCAATTTTGGACAGAATTCTCCTCCTCATAAAAGTTTACCCAGTCATATGTTTATTCAAGTCCTTCTACAAAAATGCATGCCAGAAACCCATTCATAGAGAATTTCCATGTGTGCACCTATGACATTCCTAACAAAAGGCAGAATTATATGATTACAAACCCCAGTCTTATTAAAACCAAAAAGAAAGGAGAATGTTCTTGGTTTGTTGAAATATTTGTTTTTTTGGCCAAGAATTAAGTATTCAGTGGAGCAGTCACAATTGGAAGTTCACTGCCTTCCCAGGTATAGGAAGCTCATGTGCACATTTTATTTACAGAAGTTACATCTCCAAGAATCTCCAGCCTTTATCTTATATTGTAGCCCAGCTGCAAAAAAGAAATTGTGTAATAAATACTTCAGTGACAATATCCATTTATTCGTAGTGTCTCTTCTACTGATGAGACTATACTGTGATTTGCTGTAAAGGACATACAGCAAACTAAAAAATGAGAAGTGAATGGCACAAGGGCAAAACCCACACAAAATTCAGTTAGTTGTCATATAAGAGATGATGCAAGCTATTTTTGTGTATCATGGGGTAGAGTCCTTTTCAAATGCAAGGACATGTATAGACACTGTTGCATTAGAATGGAGTCACACATTTCCACAAGCATATATTGTGTACTAGGGGTGCTGCAGTTTGAACAGGCTTGTGGGAAGAAACTAAAACTACTGACATGAATGGTACTTTGTGTAATAAGAATTCTTGAACTGTGATAAAAAGTACTTCAATCCCACTACACATCTTAGTTTTCAGGAACAACGTGAGATATGGGCCCAAAAAGGTTTGCCCATCTATAGGGAGGGCAAAAGTGGTGCCCTTAGATGCAGAGATTCCTGCAAATGGTCTAGGAAGCAGTGCTTTCTTCTCAAATTGACTTTGTTTAAGGCAGCCAATGTCACCACATTGGCTACAAGATCCCCGACTTGCTGCAGCTAGTTAGTCAAGGAAGAATGAAACATTTGTTTGAAACTTTGCCTTGTCTGTAAATTTCTCTTTTGTTTTCTTTTTGCCTCAAACCAGTGAGTCAGGCAAACATTTGGCATAGTTCTGAAAACTATCTGAATTTTCTGTCAACCAAATTAAAAATTAAATTTATTTTTAAATGTGCATTCTTAACATGTACAAAGTTAATAATACAGTGGTGCCTTGACTTAAGAACTTAATCTGTATTGGAATGATGGCTGTAAGTCAAAACGTTCTTAAGTCAAAGCAGCATTTCCCATAGGAATGCATTGAAAACCGATTAATCTATTCCGGCTGTTTTTTGTCCTTATGTCAAGGCACGGTTCTTAACTCAAAGCATTAGTTCCCATAGGAACCAATTCAAAGCCGGTTAATCCATACTCTACCACTAGGGGGAGAATTTTTTTGAAAAAAAATCTTCCTTTGACCTAATATGAACTTAGGTCAAAAAAAGGGCAGGGATGTTTTTTTTTTGTTCGTAAGTCAAGGCACGGTTCGTAACTCAAAGCATATTTTGCATCTAGAGCTGTTCGTAACTCAAAACGACCTTACGTCAGGGTGTTCGTAAATCAAGGCACCACTGTATAGCCAAGCAGAGAACAACAATAAGAACAACAACAGTCCTATGGGCATTATAATACTAAGGAAAACCAGTGTAATCTCCTGGTGTTTGCAAGTACTGAGATTTAAAAACAAGTTTGTTCAGTACATAGCTAATGTGTGGCATTTGCTGTCACAAGACATGCTGATACCCACTAACATAAGCCTTTTCTCATGATCACATGCAGTAAGGCTGTCCCACTAACATAAGCCTTTTCTCATGATCATACGGCTTCACATGCAGTAAGGCTGCCTAGTAAGATAGGGTTTAGGCTGTGTGGAGCTCTGTAACTACATTCACTTGAACATTGTAGCTCATTTTCAGACTTTTTCCAGCAACACATGGAATTTGGGTGTCGAATGGGTGGAGCTGGAGCACATACCCCAGCTCCCTCTTACAGGCTCATAAATAATGGTGTCTGAATAGGGTTTTAGATGCTTCAGGAAGGGTCCTGGACAGTTACATAGAAGTAAGCTGTTTGTTAGCCATGGAAATTTTCAGATTTCAAGGTAGTGTAACTTTGAAAACTGTGCTCAAGGAAAGTAACAGCAAAATAATTGTTCCCTTCATACCCTCCTGGTAGGCTTCAGAAGCTGTCCAATTCGTCACTCTTGGCAACAAAATGCTAGATCAAATGTGACCTAGATTATATGAAGCAGGACTCCTTTCATGCAAAAACCAGTCCATACAAGCAGTTGCAGTCTTGCAATTCTGCACTGACTATGTTTTTAAACTAGGAAAATTCTGCACTGACTATGTTTTTAAACTAGGGAAGTGCATTCAGATCTAGAAATATTCAGAATTCATTGAATAATACTGTATTTTGATAGTTCCAGATGCATTTGAATCCAAATTTAATAGTTCCAAGTAATAATTCCTAATTTTCAGAGTCCCATTTACTCCTATAGATTAGAAAGCAAAAGGCTAGGTTTCTGCTTGCTAGAGAAAGAAGTGAAAGTGAAATTTATTTCTCAGGCTTCCTGAAGTACTTGAGAAATGAAAAAAACTTAAAAGACTGTCACCAAGGGTAGTAAGGACAGAGAACTCAGTGTCTCCTGGCTGGGGTTGTCATGAGTTTTCCAAAGGAGGGGGGCTAGAGTGAGAGAAAAACCTGGAAATGATCTCTCTCTGTACCAATGAAAACTAGAAGCCGGCACAGATACCAAAAGGTATGTTTTCACATTGGTTCTTTCCAATGGAAAGATGAGAATAGGTGCTTATAAATCCTCTGGGACACTGTCTTAACAAGCACAGCATGAGTGTCCTCCAGAGACATCCCCCCAGAGGGAAGAACATGGCAGCGGCAGAGATAAAGGTGTAGACACAGGAGCCCTGCAAACCAGTCCCTTATCTTACTGGGCCGAGAGTCCGTTTAGGGAGGTCTGGCCAAGGGGGTAGCGGGACTTCTGTCTTGCCCACCAACCAATGGCCCCAGTGAGAGTGTTCTGGCAGGCAGGGGACATTTTTAGGCCACACCACTTATGCCTGGAACCATATGTGAAAAAAAAAACCCTTCTTTTCCTTAAGTTTATCCTACCATTGCTGGGCTTCCCTCAGTCGTCTTTAAGTAAGAATGAATGGCACTATCTGTTGAGAGTACTGGGTATGCCATACAGTACTTCAGTCTGCTGCCCCCTCCTTCTGGTTTTATTCTTCCAACTGCTACTCCAAGATTGTGCTCACTCAACTGTACTGTGTCCCCTACTGTTAGCATAGTTCCCCACCCACCACGGGCTATCTGCTGCTCCCATCTGCCTGACAGTGCTGCCTGGGATATTTGCCAACTCCCCAGTGTGACTCTCCTTTGCTTCCCCAATGCTGCTGGCATTTCCTGCTGGCGTTCCCAATCTCCAGGGTTCAATCAGTAGGCCCACTGCATGTATTCCCTAATACCTAGGCACTGCTGGCTGTTGGTATGTACTCTTTTTTTGATACTATCCCTGAGAAGGTCCTAGAGGATACAGGGAAATCCTTGTTTTCCTATTTGTGTTTTGTTTTTTTTAAAGAGGAAAATAATAGCTATATAGCATTTATATTGACTGTAACTGAGTTCTGGATATTTGGAACTTTCACATTTTAAAATTTCAAATTCCAAATCCAAATTCTGAATAAAATGTTGGTGCTAGTGCACATCTCTATTTTAAATCACTATTATCACTCCACGGAAACTCACTCCAGTTATTCTTCCCAGCAACACTATGAAAGCCCACTCCAAAAATAAATGACACTCTTCTGTGTCAGTGGGAGTGCAATCTTCCAAAAATGTATGAAGCCATTTGTGTCGGGATAGGGAACTGTAATCCTCCAGTTGTTGCTAGACTGCAACTTATTTTCAGCCCTAACAATGAAGGATAAGGGGACCTGTTGTGCAAAAACATCTGCAGGGCCACAGTTGTTACCCCACTTTATTGAAAAGGGCATCTGGTTTCAGAGTGTAATTAACATCTTTTTTGTTCTGTGTTTCAGTGAATCACATGAAGGTAACTCCCATGGATGTAGCCACAGCCTCTCTACTGAATGTCTTCAATGGAAATGAGTGTGGAGCTGAAGGATCGTGGCAAGTTGGGGTGCAGCAAGATGTAACACACACCAATGGCTGCATTGCTTTGGGGATCCGTCTGCCTCACACAGAGTATGAGATCTTCAAAATGGAACAAGATGCCAAAGGGAGATACTTGCTGTATAATGGTCAGAGACCAAGTGATGGATCCAGCCCAGACAGACCAGAAAAGAGAGCCACTTCCTACCAGATGCCATTAATTCAATGTACTTCATCAGTCCCAGTAGCAGATGGAATACCAAATGAAAATAAATTAGGATGGTACAGTAGTAGGGCAGCACAATGGAATTTCTGTACATTTGTTTTGACCCTCATGTTAGCTTTTTGTACTTTGCCACATGCGAACATTCAGAGCTAGAAGTGCATTTTGAAATGACTCTTAACCAGAGCAGTGCAGAACTTGGAATACATGGGAATGGAGAAGGGGAAGGGCGTATTTTTCAGACAGCCCTTTTCTTGATGCACTTGAATGCCTGAGGACTGTTACTCATTCCGCTCCACCCTATTTGAATTATAAACAGCTCTCATTTGTTTCTGCTTTGAACTTCATCCAGTCTGATCCACAGCCTGATGTGACTGCACAACAGTAATTGCACTTTAAAAATGCAGTTTCTTTTTAGAAACCATTCTGGGATGAACTGTAATAATTTTATGCAACCTTTCCTCTGTCAACTGTGCTATTGCAGTCTTTGCTACCTACCAATTCAGTTTCCTTTCTACATTTAATTACCAGGAATTATGCTTTTATCCTATTGTGTCAATATTGGTGAACCGAATCATTGTTAAGCTACAGTGTATATATGTATATATGAAAAACCCAGCCAAGGATGTATCTAAATACACTTTTATAGATTTTACACAAATTATTAAATGTTCTTTAGAGACAAGAATTTTGAATTGAAAATATCTCAAATCTAAAATGGTAATTTAAATCATTTTATATAAAGATGTTGAACTTTTTGAATTAAAAATGTAGAGTGATTTGTGGCACCAACGTTCTGATATTGTTGCTAAAGGCATGATAAATTCACCAATTTTCTGGTGACTACCAACTGGTTATGATCAAACTTTTAAAAGCAAGACAAAAGTGGGGAAATGATAATCTCAAATGGAAAGACAAGTGTAAATTGCCTTCCTCTACGTTTTCAGAAAAAGGCTATGTGGATAGAATGCCTGCCATATGCAGTACTGTATGCTTATCTTGAATCATGTTTTACTAGATGGGACAATTTAGTGAGGCAGTCAGGGCTACATCTATACCTATAAATGTCTATTTTTACAAGATAATGTTTTTGTTAAGCATTCACAGTAAGTTCTGGTTAAGAATTGAAATTTATAAGCAGTAGGATGTGCAGCAAATTGCAAAACATTTTTTGTTTCAGCAAATTTGAGAAACTCTTGATTAAGTAAGATTGCTTTCTCATCTACAAATGGGGCAGAGTGGTACATGGACTATTTTACATGAAATCTGTAGTAGCCCGTTAACATAATGCCTCAGTGACAAGGCTTGGATATGTAAAATCAAACAATACATTCCCCACATTGTTTTAAAACCAATCACTTGAAAGCCAACTTACTGCTTTTCTTTCATGCACATGCATTTACATAAATGCACAGGTGCATTTGTCTATACATAGGTTACTGACATGTACCAATGGGGCAAGTTCAGTTTCAGGAATGGAAAGTAACAGAGTATGGCCTGAGGATATGCCAAGCTGCTATTCTGAAGAGTATCACAGGAAGTGTTTTCTTTAAAATTACTGCACAATGATGACAGACATCAGCATACAGTGTTTATACCACCAGGTAAGAATCCTCCTTGATGATCTTCATTGCCTATTTCAAGAACGACAGACAATGTGATCTGAGCATCTTGTTTTGCCATTTGCCAGTATATACTAACATTACATTGTTTTTTGAAAAAAGTGAGAATGAAGGAACTCTTGCAGGACTATACTACCATTTAGAAACTAGAGCTCTGGAGATCAGAGCTAGTTGCAAGGCAAACTTGTAATCATAATATAATTTTCTATGCGAAGATGAATTAGAATAATTTGATTTTACAGCTCAACATAATATTGGAAATCCAAGGCAAGAGTCATAACTGTAGCAGCTATGTAACATGTATGATTTTGAAATATTCATTCAAAGGCTAAGATGAAGCATAATTCAAAGACATTTTTATATCAGAAAGCAGTTGATGTGTTACATTCACATTGCATAAGGCTCAAAGACCAAGAAATTAAAATTAACTGAAGGAGTTCCCAAAAATTAAGAGAAAAGCTCCTTAATAGGTTTGTGCTTATTGTATGAAACTTCATCATCAGTTAACAGAAAGAAGTCAATGACGTGAGAGTTTGTTTATACTGAAGTAATCAAATCTAATGGAGGCAAAGATCTATGGTTTCAATTAAAACATCCCGACATATAATAAAAATAATAATGTGCTGTCAATTCTGACTTATGGCCACCATTTCCAGGGCCTTCTTAGTACAGAATACTCAGAATTGGTTTGCCATTCCCTTTCTCCGGGGACAGACTCAGACTGCAGCTGGACCAAAGCCACATAGGCTGGCTCTTCTCCATGGAGGCAGTGTGGAATCAAATTTCCAGCCTCTGGCTTCATAACCAGATACCTAAATCACTGAGCTATCCAGCCAATCTCCAGATACCCAAATTTGCAACAACTAAAATGAAAATCCTTTGGACTACAGATTCTGTGACTAGCTTGCTACATTTGGATGAATCCTCACTCCCCAACTGCTACCATGCTATAAAGCAGACCTGGGCAAAGGGCAGCCCGAGGGCCACATACGGCCCGCAAGCCACTCCTGTCCAGCCCGCCGGTCGTCGCTCCAGTCCGGTGTTCAAGCACTTGTTCAAGCCCAAGACAGACTGGATTTCTCTCATTGAACAAGCTGAACATTAAAACCGTTTATAACTTTTTGTCTAAAGTTAATCAGTTGCTTATCTTTAACATACTGCAAAAAAATCCTCTTTAGTATTTGTGAAGATTAACAAGTTTAAAATAAAAACAATCATAACATCACTGTTTCATTTTAGTTTTAAGTAAAGTTGGTTCACCCCCCCGAACACAGTTCAGATTTTTCGTGTGGCCCCCTAAAGAAGTTAATTTCCCATCCCTGCTATAAAGTGTTAGATTTTTAATGTGGTGATATATTTGCATATAAACCAGGGAATTGTTTTTAAGAAATATTTTATTTTTGTAAACTTCATAAAGCTTTTTCTTCCCAGCTTCAATTTCTAGTTTTAGAGTACCTGGGAAGTTTAAGTGTTGAAAATATTGGATAAATAAAGAGTAAATGAAACTAAAATTCTTCAGAATCCTATCAGTAGTGAATGTTTTTATCTATTGGACAACTGTGCGCCAAATGAAGCATTTTAGTTGTAAACATTCCTATTTTCAAAAAAAGAATACTGGTTGACTGATAATATATTGAACAATTGCTATTTTTTCCACAATCAAATATCACGCCAGCTACAGTTGAATTTAAATCTTTGGGGAGGAACCAGTGTAAGCTGATTGATCCATGCACTGTTTTGCTGAAATCTCACAGAAGAGGACAACATTGCTTACTGACCTTGCATTATATTGCAGCCATTGCTTTCCACCTTGAAAAGGCACACAAGCACTTATGTTATTCTGGAACACAGCTTTGCAAGTTTGGGACCCCATCAGGAATCTCATTACAGTAGAAACCCGTTATCCACGGGATCAGTATCTATTGATTCACTTATCCACCGTCTGAATTTTTAAAAAATCACATATATTATCAAAACTGGCCACTAGAGGAAACCAGAGACTATGCTAGGTATACTTCTTAGTGAAGAATGCATAGCATTATCTCCAGCACCCTCTAGTGGTCAGTTCTGGTAACACATGTAAAGAGTTTTTTTCCTTTTCGTTGTTTAGCCATTAAGTCGTGTCCGACTCCATGGACAAGAGCACAAGAGGCCCTCCTGTTTTCCACTGCCTCCCGGAGTTTGGTCAAATTCATGTTGGCAGTTTTGATGACACTATCCAACCATCTCTGTCGTCCCCTTCTCTTGCCTTCATACTTTCCCAACTTCAAGGTCTTTTCCAGGGAGTCTTTTCATGAGATGGCCAAAGTATTGGAGCCTCAGCTTCAGGATCTGTCCTTCCAGTGAGCACTCAAGCTTGATTTCCTTCAAAATGGATAGGTTTGTTCTCTTTGCAGTCCAAGGGACTCTCAAGAGTCTCTTCCAGCACCACAATTCAAAAACATTAATTCTTCAGCGGTCAGCTTTCTTTATGGTCCAGCTCTCACTTCCAGACATCGCTACTGGAAAAACCATAGCTTTGACTATGCGGACCTTTGTTG